AGAAAGGAGGCGAGGGAGGGAGGAAGGAAGGAGAAGGGTGGCGACGAAAGTGAAGCCGACAGCCATAGCCGACCGGAGGAGTTGACCGGGAGAGTTGACCAGGCGTTGACCGGGGTTGATCGGGAGTTGACCGGTGGTTGACCAGGCGTTGACCAAGGCGTTGACCAAGACTGTTGACCACGAGTTTGACCAAGCTGGAGCCGGTATATTCTCGCCAAGCCTTCAGCCTATCCCCTCGCCCTATGGATGTGCACACACCCTGTGGTACTTGCTGAGTCATGTTTGTTTGTCTCTTCTTTCTGCATTGAGTCTCTTTTGTCCAGGTGTAGGAACTATGTGGATGAAGGATAGGGCCTCGTTGACCAAACCCCTGTCGGACTGAGTAGGGCTAAAGACTGTGTCTGACGACTCGACTGTCCCGGAGGACACGAACCCTCCCAAGGACCGGTACTGACCGACGGGCTGCTCGATGTGGCACGGTAGGCCCGAAAGCTGAGCTGTGGGCTGCACAACAGGCCGTCTAAGTATTGAGAGACCTGCTGATCGCATCGTCCTGTCTGCGACGTTAAATAATTCCCGAGGAGTTACGGGGGATCTCCTTAAATGCCTCTTGATCAGCAACAGGTCTAGTAGTGACAGCCTTAGAGTAGGTCTAGGCTAGTGACCATAGTTGACAGGATCGTGTCCAGATTCTGTAAGTCTTAGATTGATTCAGAAGGTGAGTCAGTCAGGGGGAGTAGAGTCTACGTGGTGAGGAGTGGAACCGATTGTCAGGTTGTGCACCTTTCACCATGGTTGACACTCGTACTGGGAAGAGTACTACCCCCTCCGAGGCCGAGCAGGCCCGGATTGCTTCCCTTTTGAGAGAAAAGAAAGAGAAGAGGGAGCTCCTGGAACAGGCGAAGTTAAAAGCCATTGAGGAGGAGGCGGCGGCGAAGAAGAAGAGATTGGAGGAGGAGATGTTGAGAATTCAAAAGGAGAAGCTGATGTTGATAGAGAGAGAGAAGGAAGAAAGGAGGAAGGCTGCAGAGGAAGAAGCAGCAAGAGAGGAGGAAGAAGAAAAAGAACCCCTTGAGAGAAGATGCAAAGAGGAGAGAGGGGAAGTAAGTGGCACGAAGGAGGATGACAGATGGAGGGAAAAGAAGATAAGCGAATGGGTGGCTAATTTATCTTTGGGAGAAGATGAAGAGGCACAATTGTATGTGCCGCAGGAGGAGAGGGAGGCGTTTGCCAGGGCATTAGAGTTGATAGAGGATCCCCTGGAACGCCTGGGGACAAAAGACGAAAAGAAGTTGGAGTGGAAGCTGAAGATGATGAGGGAGAAGAAAAGAAGGAGGGAGGAAGCCAGCAGGATAGCCGGGGAGGTCGAACGAGTACAAACCGGCAGGCAAGAGTTGCAGGCCCAGACAGAAGTCTCTGCCAAATTGGACAAGATGATGGGCTTCTCGGAGATCTTGAGTGAGGCCTGGATGGAGGAGCATCAGGCCCGTAAGGGTCAAGAAGTGACCCTACAGGCCATGCGATTTGGGTTCAGGGAATTTGCGAGTGACGTGGTGGGCCACGTCGGGGCCGAAGTAAGAAGACTGAGAGATGTCGTAGACAAGTTCTGTGTTGGCGCTATCGAGACCGCCAAAGTTGTGGCCTCAACAGAGGCCACGACTCGCCCCCGCAAGGAGCCAGTCAAGTTGAAGTTCCCTGACCCATATAGCGGAAAGAAGGAAGAAAATTTCGATAACTGGGAGGCTAGTATAAACACTTATGTCTTTTTACAACATATTGCCCCCGAGGAGCAGGTCCTTGTTGCCTTCCACGCCCTAAAGGACGAAGCAGCCAGCTTCGCCAGGTCTCTCACACGTGCCGCAGATTGCGAGCACAATATGATTGCATACTGTAGGCTTACCCTCCTTGCTACTTTCCTCAAACTCCTGCGAGAGAGGTTTGTTGACGTCACTAGAGGCGTCAGGGCCTCTGATAAGCTCCAAACCATCCATTCGCGACAGTGGAGGAGTGTGAGAGCACTCAAAGCTGCCATGGACGACTTGGTAGTCGTCCCGGACCATGGGGTCACTGAGGCCCAACTGGTCCAACTGTTCTATCGTGCCATCCCAGAGCCCTTACGAGGGCACTTCTTTGACAAAAGTCAACAGCCCACCATGACGTACGATGCGCTGAGTCGAGAAGTGGTGCTGTACAAGGCGCGGTCCATGCCAGTTACCACTCTCTGGCATAAGGACTTAGACAAGGGTAAAAAGTGGAAAGGCCGTACCATCTCTAGCCAGGTTAGGGCCAAGGATCACATGATCCTTACGTTGGAGGAGGGTGGTACTGACGAGGTCCCGTACAGTCAAATTGAGTGGGGCCTCAAGGAGGACCGCAACGTAGGTCAGGGGAGGTCCTATGCTGTTGTCGCGGCTGGAGGGAGGCCGCAAGGTAGAGGAGGAGGCCAGGGCCAAAGGGGCCAGGCGATGGGAGGCCGAGGATCGGGCGTGTAGGGGGTTGGCGGTCAAGGGAACCGTCAAGCGCGAGGTAGGGGTCAAGGTCCCCCGCCGAATCGTCAAGATCCTAATTGGTCCCCACAGCGACGAGGTGGCAGGTCACCTCAAAGGTCAGGAGGTTGGCACCCGGGTTGGCCACAAGGCCGGCCCTGGGAAGATCTGGGCCTGGACCAGAAAGTTTGGCAGCAGCGAATGGAGCAGGGGCAATGCATTTATTGTGGTGACCCTGCCCATATCATAAAATATTGTCCTAAGTATAGACAGGCCCGTTGGGCTGCCCAAGAGTCAAAAGGCAGCCGCCGGTAGGGGTCGCAACTGCCCCTACTACTAGACCATGTGGGGAAGCGAGCGCGCGCGTACAGGAAACTCCCACACTACATGTGCCTTCAACAGAGGTTGTAGGCCCGTGCCTAGTTAGCTGTCCAGAGACTGCTTGTGTTAGCGTCTCTCCAGGCGCGTCCCTCACAGGCGTGGCAGAGGAATTGAAGGAGAGGATGCCAGCCTGGGCCAAAATGAAGAAAGACAGTAAAGGGCAGCTAGACCCGTAGCTATATTAGTCGTAGGGCGTTGAAAAAGTTGAGGCTAGGGTTGAAAGTCCATAAATTGGAAGACCCCATAGTTAGTGTCCTCGCAGACAACCGCACTATGCGTGTTGAGGACTACGTAGAGGGAGTCCAAGCGTACTTCCACCTAGAGAAAGATGGGAAGGTGGAGAAAGTTCTCCATTCCCTGACTCTCCTCGTACAGGATAACCTTCCATTTGACATAGTCCTAGGCATGGATTGGGGAGAGGCAGCAGGGGCCACACTCCACTTGAGAGAGCATGCGTGCGAGCTCCCTAGTCCGTCAAGCGAGGTTAAGACAGCCCGTCTGTTCCATGTGTCAAGAGTAGACAACTCGCTGGCACATTGCTGTCTCAGTGCTCCCGCGTTCGCGCGATTAGTGAAGGAGCAGTTAGAGGATCAGGTCTTTGTAGTATATGTTAGACCTGTCACTGAGCCCCTGGACGCGAGTCAGTATGGAATAGGCGTCGTGTTACAGCAGGACGACGGCAATGGCTATTCATGTCAGCGAGGATCCCCCCAGAGAAGGTTGCAACCTCGACGTATGAGAGAGAACTCTACGCTCTCAGGCAGGCCTTAGAGCACTGGAAGCATTCCCTGCTTGGGAGGCACTTCAAAGTGTACTCAGACCATGAGACGCTTAGATAGCTGAAGACACAGGCCAAGATGACACCTAAGTTGACTAGGTGGGCCGCTGAGATAGACCAGTATGACTTTGAGCTCAAGCCTGTGAAGGGCAAGTACAATGTAGTTGCGGATGCTCTGAGTAGGAGATCAGACTACTTTGGAGCTACAGCTCACTATCTGGACATAGGGAGTGACCTGCAAGAGAAAGTTAGACAGGCGTATACCCAGGACCCTATCTATAGTGACCTCCTCAGAAAGGTTAAGGAGGCCCCAGAGACTGAGTCAGACTACCACACTACAAAGGGGTTATTATTTGAGAAGACTAACGTAGCAGACCGCCTATGCATTCCCAATAGTGAGGAGATCCGCAGTTTAATCCTAGGGGAATGCCATGATACAGAGGGACACTTCGGTTGGCAAAAGACTTTAGCCAATCTGATGCATGCGTACACATGGCCAGGAATGCAAAACGACTGCATAGAGTATGTCCGCAGTTGTAAGGTATGCCAGAGGAACAAGACCACTACGCGTGCCCCTCTAGGTCTTCTCCGACCCTTGCCTATTCCAGACCAGCCTGGAGATTCAGTCTCCATTGATTTCATGGATGCCGGTGTCAAGAGTAGGCATGGCAAGAGCCAAGTCATGGTTGTAGTTGATAGATTTAGCAAGTATGCTATTTTTGTTCCTTTGCCTGCAGAGGCCCGTACAGAGTTAGTGATCCAGAAGTTTATCGATTTTTGGGTTAGTGAGCATGGAGTCCTGTTGTCCATAGTTAGCGATAGAGATAGTCGCTTCACCAGCCAAAACTGGCAGGAACTCATGAGAGTTTATGGGTCAAAGTTGTTGATGTCATCTGGCCGCCATCCAGAGACTAACGGTCAGACCAAGCAGATGAACAAGATCCTGCAGCAGGTTCTGCGCATGTACATTAGACCAGATCAGATTAACTGGGACGAGATGTTACCCAAGGTAGCCAGTGCATACAATAACAACGTGCATTTGTCCACCTGTCGCACTCCCAACGAGTTGCACAAGTCCTTTAGACCGCGTAGGCTGTTTGAGGGACTGAACCGGGATCAGATTCACAGGATACTGCCCGGTACCAGGGAGTTCGCGATACAGCATGAGAAAGAGATAGCCACTGTCGTTGAGAACCTCAGGAAAGCCCGACACCGAATGATAGAACAGGCTAATAAGCACCGTCGCCCATCACAGTTTCAGGTAGGCGACCTGGTTTGGGTCAAGTCTAAAGAGTTTGCACCTGAGGAGAACATCTCGCAGAAGTTACTGCCTGCGTATAGAGGACCGTGGCCAGTTCTAGAAGTTAAGTGCCGTTGTTGCATACTGTAACGGTGCAGACCAGAACAAGAACCGACCTCTCTCACAAAGTACAAGATAGCGTAGCGGAAGACTTAGATACCTATGATCCGAACAATCAATATCGCAATGCAGCCCCGAACATACATCATCATCATCATCACTCCATGGTGTGAAGGGGGTCTGGCGCTCACACACGAAGAATGCGCCAGCCCCAACCATACACAGACGAAGAAGAGGGGGGTTAGACGAAGAAGAGGGGAAGATGGGAATGTCGTCAACACCAAGTCTTCGGCACAGGCCCAAATAGTCCCT